GCTTAGCCCTGGAGGGGGGTTAGCCCTGGGGGGAGGTTAGCCCTGGGGGGAGGTTAGCTCTCCTCAGGAAGCTTCATCGACTCCCAAATTGTCAGAGGAGAGTTTGCAAATGAGAGAGTATCTAAATGGTTCCTCTTTAGACTCGGTGCTTGCAGAAATTTGAGAGGCAGGTGAGAGGTGAGTGAGGACCCCCCTTGCTCCACAGCTCTTGAGGGGGCACCAAGTAAAACTGGGAAGGGGCAGCTTCAAACTGGAGGGGCCGAGGTAACCTCTCGCCATGTGGGAGGGCGTTCAAGCCACGGAGTTCATCGGATGCTGTGGGCATATGCTGAATTTTTGGGTTCAGAAAGCATCTGGGTGAATTCATGGGAGAAATCTGAAGATTTTAAGCAGAGATACACCACCTTTGGCTCACAAAGCTCCTCAGAGCTACATTACCAGCAGCTGGAAGAGTGTCCTAGGAAAGTACTGCTGTGTCCTGCCTCATTCTTACGCCCTTTGTGAGTGTCTCTACCCAAGCCCTGCTCCTGTTATTTCTTCAACTCAGGGGTGTGCTGATGTTGCTAAAAAACCTGAAACCATTCCCCAGGATACTTGGTATGAGGGATCTGGGATGCCACCTGTGTCTGTTACATTCATGCTTTTAAGAGACAGTTGTGTGGTCGTTCACATGACAGAAGCCAACATTGCCAGTATTAATTCTATGTTGAGAGAAAAGCTGACTCAAAAAGCTGCTTCTCGTTAGTTACGTTTTCATTGTTTCTCAGATAAACCGAGGCTAGTGTTTATCTCTGAGTCACAGGTTTTGCTCTTTCTTCTTACTGCTTTTAAATTACTCGTTGGTTCAGTCCTGGACTTGACTGATAAAGGATAACTCAGGACAAAATGCAGCTGCTCCCTGTGCCCAAAATGTCTTCACACATGCAAAGAGTTATTTTCAATACTTTCTTTAGAAATAAGATGATCTGTTGCAAACTTTCTGTTCAGTTTCTGTTCTGTTTAGGGAAGGGAAGATTTACAAGCCATGAAAAGTATGGATTTAACTTACAAAATAATTTAAAAATAAAGGAACTAGAATGCGTGAGATGCATTAATTTTCTATAACAATGTTTGAACTTTCTATTTAAGGTGCAGAATCAAATTTCTCAGCTATTATGCTTTCTTGTTTTACGTTGAAATGCAATTAACTTTGTATAAGTACAAAATGGTCAAGTAAATCTGAGAATAAAAAAAGATAACTTCATTTGACCTTCCTTTCTCGTACCTCCCACCCCATCTTCTCACATTTCTTCTAAAGCTTGTAGAAGCAATTTGATGTTAACATTTAACTACACCACAGAGGTCTTGAAAAAATTTTCGTTGTTAATATTTGTATTTTGTTCCATATTTGACCACTCCCTGTGCATTTGGATCTCTAGTGAGTACTTTAAACTTGCTTACAGACTTATACAGGTGAAAAAGCTTTCACAGGATTTCACAGAAATCAAGCGATTTCTGTTGCTTGAGGAAGCAATTCAGCAGGGAAATTCAGCTTTAAGCAGAAAACCCTGTTAGTTGTTCATGGCCAACACGCTGCTGATGGTCACACTCCTCTGCGCAAATCTGAAATTATCCTTCTCAAGACAGTTTCTGGTGTCATTTATCAGCACTATCGTATAAACCCAACCGAGGCTGGGGACTTACTGCTCTCGATCCAGTAATGGACAGTTGCCACGTGTCTCTTTTCAACTCTTGACTGTAAGTTCAGTAACTTAGAAGGAAATGTTTCAGCTTTACTGGTGCAGAGCCTTACCTTCATTTCAACCACTGTTTCACAGGAAACTGAGATACAAAGTATAGTCATCGCCATATAACTTCAATATGAAGAGTCAAAATAGATTATGGGCTGCTTCTTTTGGATAGAGGCACCAGAATGTAGAGTCTGAATGATTATTTCTCTGCAGGTAGAAACTCAGGGGCACTCAAATTATCAGGCAACGAATCTGCAACGCACACAGTGGCATTTCCTTTCACAGTATTTGTCATTCACGTGTTGAACTGCTGTGGTGTATTATGCCTTAATGGCTGAATGAGTTCCAAAAGTAACTGGGCAAAATAAAAGAAACCATGTATTGAACAGTGATCAGGATATAACCTCCATTTCATGTCATTGATGAACTGCTGATTCCCTGCATTTCTATGCCCGACTGAACAGTATGCCTCTGTATGCTATGTCTATCTGATTGTTTATGTCATTCTGGAAATAACATCCATAAACAAAATTTAGGGAAAACTAAACTAGTGCTACAACTGAAGTATTAACTTTGCTTTGAGGTGATCTGGGAGCGTGGTTCAGAAAGTAGTTGAGAGCATCCCGAGGGTGTGTGGAAACCCAGACAGACTGGTTTTTTTTAAAAAAGCGTTAAGAATGTAAATTTTCTAACCATGAAACTGATGTAAAGACAGGAATACTGCCTACAGGCTGTAAGCTTAGATCGTAGTTGGCTATTGCTTGTACACAATTTTAATTAGATTAGTTCTTAAGAACTTAACATTCTTTGTGTTATAAAGATATTTTGAATCATGTATTATGTAGAGACATTTACTTTTCCTGTGTTATTGCAAGTGTAGCTATTGAAAGGACAGAGGGAAATGGTTTTAAATTGAAAGAGAGTATGAGGAAGAAATTCTTACGATGAGGGTGGTGACACACTGGGCCAGGTTGCCCAGGAAAGTTGTGGATGCCCCCTCCCTGGAGGTGTTCAAGGGTCACTTGGACGGGGCTTTGAGCAACCAGGTCTAGTGGGAGGTGTCCCTGCCCATGGCAGGGGGGTTGGCCCGGGTGATCTTTAAAGGTCCCTCTCAACTCAAACCGTTCTATGATTCTATGAGTTACTTTGTACAGCAAATATATGTATGGTCTGTTTGTTTTTTAAAAAATCTTCTAGCAAATTAAATAGTATATTGCTCTGATGAAGTTTGTCTTGTGACTGGTTAGCACTCTTTTTCTTTTCTTTTTTCCTGGAAAGAAGAAAATTGCTGATGCAGAATAGAAGTCAGGCCGACTCTGGCAATACCATTTTGCAGCTCATGCCCTGACACTTTACTTGGGCGTAGTAACATGCCACCATGGCTTTCTCTGGGGAAACACAAAGAAGAAAGAGTCCTGATAATTGTGCTCGCTTGTTCACATCCACTTGGCTAAAGCAGTTCAAAAGAAAATGATTAGATGATGAAAGACTGTGTTTAGAAGTCTAAAACTTAGGGAGACTTAGGTAGTAAAGATCATGGCACTCTGTAAATTTGAAAATGTTTTGAAATTAGGTACTGTATCGGAATATTGTCCTTGTGGTGGATATTGTTACCATATCTCTATTTTTATTCTGATCTAATGTAAGAATTAAGGGCTTTTATAGTCAGTTCAGAGAGAAGGCAGACCCAGGATTAATATTGCTGCTCCTCTTCATGTTTCCTGATTTCTGCTGACTGCAATCTTTATAGAGGGATTTAAAGCCTAAAAGTCTAAATTTGGGGTGGATATGTTGTCCCATTGAAAGGAATACAAGATTAATGAATAGTCACTTTCTTCTCGTATTTTGAATTTTGTGGCATAAAATTAAGTCTTAAGATAATTTTTTTAGAAGCTTTACAATATTCTGGAACTGCTATTGAAAACCACTGTGTGCTTCGTCAGAATTTCTGTTAGACTCTGCATTTTTTGTCTTTTAATTACTGTTACAAAACCTTATTTATCTTACTCTTATTTGGCAATTCACTTAGAGAATATTCTTGGATGCTTATGGTACCTTTCAAACATCAAAAGGCAAACGAGAGCACAGTTTTGCAAAATTTTTTACACACCTAGAACGACTTAGAGTCCTTCCTGAAGAGGACTTGGACCCCCAAATCACTTTCCCTATTATGCCAGCTTTCACAAAAGATAACAGAAAAGTCAAGTCAAAAGGAAGATTTACAAAGCAAAGTGACTTCACCAGCGTCACACTGGTATTTTGCAACTGAGGAAAGGAAGGAACAGAGCACAAGTCTTTGGGATCTGTTTGGTCTGCATTTGACTGTGGAACTTTCTTCTATGAATGTTTAATTGCTATGGTGTAAAAGTAAATGTGAATTATTATGGCCTGAAAGATTAATACAAGAAATTATTTTTCTAAGAAAGTAAAAAAAGAATTCCACCTTAAAAAAATTTGAATTAAACATTCAAAAAACAAAACTAAGCTCAGAAAATAGTGTATTTGCTTCTTGCTTGTTTATAAACTTACTCCTTTCTAATAGCTTGCAAGAAGCAGGCAGGTGAGCCTAGATTCCCTTGTAGAAACACTGTGATCTGTTTTTAGGGTCTGAATTAAGGAACAAAACTGTTAGAAATCAAAGCAATGAGCATCCAAATGCCTGTTTATAGCAGGAGTAGAGAGCGTATGATTTATTAGTGGGATATCTGTGAAGCAAAAACCAGAATTTGGTGTTAAAGTTAAATTTTAGCCTTATGACTTCTGTAGCTTTTAATGTGTGTACCTTGTTTTTCTCATCATTTGTTCTGCTTTGTCTTGAACAGGATTACAGGCTCTCGATTTGTGGCAAATTATGCTACGCAATAGGAGGTGCTCCCAATCAAGTGGCAGGCAGCGCTGCTGCTTTCTTCTTTCAGATCTACCTGCTCGATATAGCCCATGTAAGTAGCACAAGAAACTTTTACAGATTGTAGACTTACCTAAACTCTGATGTTGTCAACAATGTCCCTGGAATGATAAAAGGTGATTTAGCTAATAAAGCTTTTAAATTGTCTTTTTAGCATTGCCTCTAGCTGTTCAACATACTGGAAACTACATAAAGTTGTCCAGAAATATTTTTTTTTCCTTTTTTTTACTAGTTTCCTTTGTGTCTTGGAGTGGCTATTGTTTGCTTTTAGTTTGGTATCATTAATAGAGTTTTAGGCACTGTGGAGTTCATACACTTGCAGACACAAGAAGTCAAGTCTCTTGACACAGAGAACTGCTTTGTTCTCTGTGTCAAGAGTCAGAAAGTGTAAGGTATGAGACACCTGAAACATTGATAGCACCATGTTGAGACTGTGAAGTTTTGTTCATTTGATTTAGTTAAAAATCACTGCAGTTGCATCCAGTAGTCAACGTAATTTCAGGTAAAATTTTATTTGGTTTGTCTATGATAATTTCTTTGCAAAGAAAACTGAATTATCCTTCCTGAAGGTTCTTTGCTTCCACTCTGTGGCTTTCTGGTGCAGAAGCAGACCTGATAAAACAAAGCAATAGGAGTCATCCCGTTCATCTGACTTTCAGCTGCTCCAGCTAGATTTCAGGACAGCAGAGAAACAAAGAAAATAATCCATAAGCATTTTTTATTGTTTTGGATTGTCTTGTATGACTGTGTGATAAGTAGGTGGGACAGATAAAGTATTACAGGATAGAAAAAAGGATTTTAGAAAGATGGGGCCAAATTGCAGGGACTCTGAGGACAGATGTTGCTGAAACTCCATGAGTGACTTTCAGCACTGGTGACTGTTTTCATTTGCTGGAAAGAACAGGAGGCTTTGGATCAGGTATTGTTATTCCTCTGCTGTTTAAGATGTGGAAAGGTGGGATACCGGGACTTGGGCAGTGAAGGTGTCCAAAAGATTGAGTTTATGGTTTTCGTATAGAAGTCTGGTATCAGAAGCTGAGGTGTGACTTAGCTGATAAAATTGGAGACACGGTACGAGTGGCATGTAAAACCGAGATCAAAGTCACAAGATCTAGAAACGGGGCCAGTTGTAAAGTGGATGATTTGGAGTCTGAGGAGTTGGAGGTGGAACGGGTAGCTTGGACATGCAGCAGGAGGTGGATGCAGCTCTGACTGCTGCTATTTCACACTTAGATCAGGGATGGTAATACAAGCCATTGGAGATGATGAAGAATGAACTGAACGAGAAAGACACTAATACAGTTTTACCAGCGTCCTTATAAATGTGGCATTTTCTCCACTCTGCTTATCACAGAAATTGAAAACACTTGAAGCAAGGAACTGTTTATTTCTTTATGTGTTTGTGTACGATGTCCAGAAAGCTGGGGTCCCCTCTTGCATCTTTGGACACTACCTAAATAAATGACATAATAATTATTTTGTTTATGATCTCCTACTGAAACCCAGTAATTTTGCTTGTAATGATACACTTAGTACTTCATTAAGGGGCTTAATTATTTGTTCCTTGATGGTTTAGTTTGTTCTCTGAAGTAATCCTTCAGAAACAGAATTCATTTCAAGGCCTAATAAACAGCTCTGAAATCCTGTGGGTTTTCCCCACACATTTTCGGAGGAAAGCATGTTATTTTAGAGTCACTACCTGGATTTAATTCCTGCCCACTTAGGGGACAGAACAGTTTTAGCTCTTTGAGAGATTGTGCAACCCACTAGGTGTAATCTTTCATATATAATCTTGATCCTTTCTTGGAAAATTACATTTGTATTCACTTCCTGTAGCTTACAGTTTTTCCATTTGAGTTCCATGTTCCACCTAATTTACCTGTATAAACTACAGACACACAAATGTAACTCCAAACCACGCAGGATCCTTGAGTCAAATTAACAGATAACACCAAAACCTCTGATAATAGGATCCTGGTCTTTATTCCTTTGGAGATGAGTGAATTTAGCATATTTTGTCTTGTGTTTTATTAACACTGAGAAGTTTCTGGCATTGATGCTGACAAACACTGTCCAGATATAGGGGATAAGAAAATACATCCAAGGGATGTATAAACCCATACCAACCATAAAGACGAGGTGACTACACAGACTCCACTCCTAACATAAGAGATTTTAATTTTCCTCGACTTTCTTCTGCCTCTGTTTATCTAATAGCCACTTCCTTTCTGCCTATTAAATTATCTGAGCAAAATACCAACACAGAACCCACCTAGTATGAAGTTTTCTGTACCTGTGTCCCTCACAACTGCAATATTTCAACCTCTGCATCTTTCTGACTGCTGTTTTCTTCTCGTTTTTGCTGACCTGTCTCTTCGGAAGCAGAAGTGACTTCTGAGCAGTTTCAGCGCAACCACCTTGGCAAGTCTGCCTCACGGTTGGTGGGCTGCTTGCCACCCTGGCTGTGGGAGGGTGCAAGGCAGCAAACATGAGTGAGGTGAACATGAGCAAACTCCTGTGGGACACAGCCTCATCTTACAATGCAGCAGGAGGATGCTTGGAAAACCACTGCCACTGCCTGCTGGGCATTACTGTTCCCAGTCCTTCCCTCTTCATAAGCTTTCTAGAGCAGAGTATGTGTCCTGGAGCAGGTGGTATAAGGAAGATTGGCTACCCCTGCAATTTCACCTAATTTGGGCTAAAATTGTATGAAGAGTGACTAAGGGAACTGGATTTGTTTAGTCTAGAGAAGAGGAGACTGAGAGGAGACCTTATGGCCCTCTCCAACTACCTAAAAGGAGGTTGTAGCGAGGCTGGTGTTGGTCTCTTCTCTCTAATTAGTAATGATAGGACGAGGGGGAATGGCCTCAAGTTGTGCCAGGGGAGGTTTAGATTACATATTAGGAAGAAATTCTTCACTGAGAGGGTAGTTAGGCACTGGAACAGGCTGCCCAGGGAGGTCTTGGAGTCGCCATCCCTGGAGGTGTTTAAAGAACAAACAGATGTGGCGCTTGAGGATGTGGTGTAGTGGTTAGGGAAATGCTGGGAAAAAGGTTGGACTTGATGACCCTGGAGGTGCTTTCCAACCATAATGATTCTGTGTGATTCTGTGTGATTACAAAAATGAAGTGCATAGCATCTGTCTTTTACAAAGTTCATCCAGGATGTGCAGAGATTATTGCTTCCTTCTTTCACCTCTGAGGGAATACCTCCAGCAAATTCCATGGGCAGGGGATCTGCTGACCAGCTGGAAGCCTTGTGATGCTTCCTGAGAGGCAACAAGCTCTGCAGAAAAGCAGTGGATACTACCTCCAGCTTGGTGGTATATCTGCTACATGTTAGGCTTCCAGCTGATAGCATGGAGAAGCATACAGATGAATGGTTTATGTCTGCTGTCTCTGTTTAAGCTGCATAGGCTGTTTCAGCAGTCTCCCTCCATAACTGATTTGAGCAAGGTTGATGTTTATATAAATTTCAGTGATTTATTTTTTTCAGGCCTGTAGTTTCAGTGGCACTTGGAAGAGAACCACCGCTTCTAACCATTGTGTGATATGAATTCCTAAGCTCTCTACAGATATATGTGAAAAATAACTGTGTTGCCTGTAACTGTATTTCTATATAGGCACTGAAGTATGGTCCTCGTGGGTTAACTTCAAAGTTTTTTCTACTTGGCCATTTAATTCTTTTGTAACCTGTGAACATTTTTCAAGTGAGATCTGTTGGACAGCTTTTGAACAGATGTGCCTTATGCAGTTCAGTTGTCACAGTTCAGTTCTGAGTAAAGTCTGCTGTGCTACAAACCCTTCCACAGCCAAATGCCACCAGCTGGCAGCTTTGTTGCTAATATCAGGAGATGAAAAAACACGAACACATGTAAACAGCTCCCTTTACTTTTTTCTTTTTTTAATTGAGTCAAGATAAAGATATGGGGAAATGGGACTGTGTGGGGAACAAAGTGAGGGGATAATTACAGAGGAGACTCTGTTAGGTTTTGTGATTAAAACAAGGACTTTGGTCTATTATTTGACTATCTGACCTATTTTCCTAGTTTGAAACACACTCATAATCTTTCTTTCCTTGCACTTTGCCCCTCTAATCCCTTCTTGCATGGTGCCTGTGTCAATGTCTTATTTGTTTGCTGTGGGTAACCAATGGTAATTTCTATGACAGCAGCAGACATGTTTCGTAAATGAACTATCATTATTCTTTAAAACACTGACTTTTTTTCTGGAAAGTTGCTTTATGCTGTTTCATTGTATTGTGAAACAATGGCTCTTGTTTACAGTATTCTGCCTGTACTTTCAGATTACTCCGTTTCATGCCTCTCTGGTGCTGTTCATCGGTAAAGCCTCAGGTGCAGTTACTGATCCTGTTGCTGGCTTTTTTATTAGCAAAAGTAGTTGGACAAAAATTGGCCGGCTCATGCCTTGGTAAGCATAAATGTACATGTAGTTACATACACAGTGTTCATATATATATGTGTTGTGATCATACTATCACCTCATGGAATTAGACTTGTTTTGCTCTGCCTGTTTCCCAGACAACAGTGATTGAATTCATTCTACATATACGAAATCAAAAAGAAAAATTGTCATGACGTCTATTTCTCTAACTTGTTCATCAATGAAAACAAGAACAGATATTCTACCCCTGGAGATACAAACAAATAAAACCAAGACACGGCGTTGTTAAGAAAACTGGAAACTCAGATGTAAAATTTTCTTGACTCTGTGACTGACTTTTGTTTGAATCCCTTTATTTTGGCTTCACTCCTCCACGAAATTGGAACTTGTTTCTACTGGTGTCCTAGTGTGCCTTCACATCAGCCTTCCAGGAGCTCTGTTAAGTTTAATTCTCCAGGCTTTTCAATTCAGTAAAGGGTGTGTGCATACATATGGAATGGATGTGACACTGTGGTGTTGAAGGGCTCAGCAACCCACACTGCCCTGCCACCCTGTTACATTCCTCCTCAAAGCAGTCATTCTGGTCTTGCTTCTCCTATATCTCCATAATCAAAATACTTAATTAAAAAGTCACCATGACTTTTATAATGAATGAGATGTGAGATTTTGATCAGCATTTCTAACGGGACAGTGTGATGCTTCGCTGTGACATTCTTTTTCCTTGTATGCACTTGAGCTAGCACATCTGTCCGTGTGCTGTAAGGAAGGGTTAGAAACAGGAACGTTACTTATGTATGAAGGAGATTGGCAGGTGTCAAAAATTTGAAAGGTTTGGAAAGAAAAAGATTGGAAAGGATTGCTTTGTGTTAGAGGAACCCAAGTTCATCTTATTTGTTTGGGTTTTTTTATGTTTTGGAAGTCAAGGGGAGACTGAGTAGTTTGTGAAATAGGGAGCCTTTCATCACTGCTCTGTCTCATACGTTATAAGGATGTATTGTAAGATATTTCTAATTATGAATTTGGTTTTTAATATAACCCCAAACTTGATTCACAATAAAAATCCAAGAGCAGTTGTGACATCCTAAGCAAAGAAGTTGAATTTTCAAAGACATAATCCCAGTTTTTTAGCTGGTGGTTCTCCTACTGTCGTTTGGTTTTGGGGCTACAGGAACTTGTCCGTGGACAGCTTGTATTTGGAAAAGAATAGAAAGCAAGTACCTGTTGGAAGAAGGCTGAGATCAGCTGCTCTTGGTCCCAGCAGGAACAGGGCCCTCAGGTCGCAGTTAAGCTTTTTTTCAAGAGCCCCATGGGAAAAGAGGATCTTGCTGCTGTTTCTATTTTCAGGATTTGGTTTGTGGACAGACAAATGGAGTGCTTTTTAATGAACACTGAATTAACCAAGTAACCAAGCTATTAAAAAAAAAAATTGCTTTTTTATACAAATGTGACTAGATGCGTTCCGACGCCCTTATTTTTTCAGTATTCTGAAAATATTGCGAATATATGTGTTTAGTGTTAGTGTTAAATCGAAGTTAGAATAATTCCCATCCTAGCACAAGCATGAACTTATCAGCCCTTTACACTGTAAACCAACTCCTGTCCAACTTGCACTTCTTACAGGAAGCATGCTTATCTAACCTGGCCTTTCATATGTGTTCATCAAACAGCTGTTTTCTTTCCAGAAGCATTTTGTCTGCTTTTTTGGTATTGGTAATTATTTTTGTGGAAATTTTGTTCCTTCACTTTGGAAGTCAGACTATATTTATACAAAACAAAAAATGGGTCTTCCTTTAGCTTCAGAATACTTTAGTATTTTGAAGTTATTCTGACTTCTTAAGTATTTAGAGTGAAGCAATGGAATTGGCTCAGTCAGAAAAGCTTGCCAGCAAAGCAAGAACATTAGTAAAGAAGGTGAACGTTTAACTATGTCTCAGTGATGTACTCAATAAAAGAAATCATCAGTCTCTGTTCCTCTCCTTTATGTAATGCCTTTAAAAGACATAAGCAGACGTCCACTTGAAATACACAAACCTGGTCAAGTGTTTTGTCAAAGGAGATCATAGTGGACAATCAGGTATTCAGCAACTTCAGCAAGGCTCTGAAATCTCACCAACGTTAATGAGGAAAGGAGAACGTGGAAAGAGGATGGAAGGGGGTAAGAATACTGAGAGGGTTTTTGCTGAAAAATTGCATGAAAAAAATGACTATGAAAATAGTCAATAGTTGATCTAGACACCAGTCTGAAAGAGCTTACGTTTTTGGAGTGGGAAGTAGATTCCCTGAGATGTGTTGGGATTTTTACCCTTATTTGTGTTTTCCATTGCTGACCAGCCGTGGGTGAACTGTGGCCTGGGGAGTGGAGGGACAGAGAATACCAGAACCTGGCACTTTCCTTGCAAATGGTCAGCTCCCGGTGATGCTGTCCATCCCAAAGAGCAGTGTGGGAAAGCCATTGTTTTACTAAACTATTTAGGCACATTACTCTTTTGTATTCCTGTTTTTCAGTTCACGATTGCAAAATAATCAGCTGACCCCCAATGTCAGTAGTGCTGTTGTGAAGGGATTAATCTGTTTTCTCTTTGACATGTTTGGATATTTTTTGTTGGGATCTTGGTCATCTAATTACATTGTTTAATGTCTGATTTACAAGAATACAGGAGAGCCCTGGTGCTGCTGCAGCTCCGAGTTTTAGGAAATAATAACATCTGACCACTTCTTCCATATCGTGGAGTTTGACAAGTGTCATTTGCCTGAAATAATTTTTAGACTAATGTAATTAATTACTGGTTAATAGCGATGTCTGGAATTTAAGTGTCTGTGGTTCTTTTTTTTGAAACCACCTTCCTCACCAGAAGATGGTCCGTTGTGTTTGAAGTGATTAGGAGTTTTGCTGTTGAGTTAAATGGAACAAATTATCACATAGCCAGGTAGATACAGACTGCAGGAACTTTTTCAGTGGGCTGTCCGTTATCTTTTGTGCTGTTTTCAGCATTTTGAACTGTATTAACATATTTGCACTTGCTTGAAGAGCAGTGAGGAGGCTAGGTTGAGGAGAAAACTGATGGCGTTAAAACTGGAAGGTAGAATCCTTGGTAAAAAGTGGATCGGATAAAAACTGCTGAAGTATAAGGAGATATGACAATAGAGCTTAGCTTTCAGTAGTACTTTCTAATAAATGTGTAGTCTGAGCTGTGTACTGAGGAATGGCAGTGTAGGTATGCAGTTACAGTACACGTACAAGGAAATTGTGTCTGTTCTGAGTGAGATATTAACTTGAGAATAGCTCATTTCCTTCATATCTGCTGTGGGTTTTTTCCATTTTATGGAAGTACTTGTATATGGTTTATATTAATAAGTGTTTAATGCACGCTAACATTTAATAATTAAAAACATGGCATTATTGTAGTTAGTAAAATAAATAGCATGATATTGATTATTAGCAGGAAAATTTAATGTGCTTTGCTATCATTATGCCGAGATTATTGATGTGTTACTCTCCTTTGCAGGATGCTGGCCTGTACACCCTTCACAGTAGTGTCCTATTTTTTTATGTGGTACCTACCTCCTTTTGTATCGGGAAGAGTTGCCTGGTACCTGACTTTCTACTGCCTTTTCCAAGCACTGACCACAGTAAGTAGAATACAGGTCATGATATTCTCAGCAATAACTTGCTTGTTTTCTGTGTTAATGCATTCAGTGGCTCTAGTTCCGGGTGTTTTGCCTCAAGCTAGGAGGCGATGAATAGTCAGGGAACCAGAGCTGGAACAGTGCTGATAATAGTCATTATGGTATTTATGTCTGGATAGACAAGTTTGAGCATGTGAATTTTTTAATACAGCCCAGGATGTGCAAGCCATCAGTTTAGTGGATCCCGAAGAACTTCTCTGACATGTTCCAAACTGTACATGTAGGGGTTGCATCACCCTGATTTCCCTTCTAGTCAATGCCAAGGTGAAACAAAGTATCTTCCGTGTAAAGCAGTATCACACAGCACACAAGAACTGGAAGACAACTGCATCTCAGTTTGGCAGGGTGTAGCCTGGCTGGTTGAATGTTACTGGATCATGTTTTGAAAAAGTGGTTCCCAAACATTTAAAGTGTTTGTATTCCTTGTTTGCCTTTGGCTTTTCTCCTGCTTACAGATCTGTTGGACCTGGGAATTCTATATTGCCGTTTCCCTAGGTCCTTCGTTTCCTCTATAGAAATACAGTCCAGAAGATGTTCATAGTGGCTTAAAATAATTCTCCCAGCATTGCAATCAATATTATCAGTGCGTTGTTTCCACCAAGATTTTACAGCAAGGTATCAATTGCATGCCAGATACACTGCTGTAAAAACAATCAAAAACCCCACTTCTCATTTTCCCTTTTGTCAGTGCATGGATGTGGGTGTTTCTACCTATTCTTAACTCAAATTAAGGAGTGTGTGGCAAAATGGTGCTGAAAACAAAGAAATTTTCACAAAGTTTTCTCCTAGAATTACACAGTGAGACAGATATTTTAAATATTTTGGGATTTATGCAGTCTTCTGAAAGGCTGAAGGTGCTGAGTCTCTTTAGCTTGGAGGAGGCTGAGGGATGATCTCACAAATGTTTATAAATACATCAGAGGGGAGTGTCAGGAGGATGGAGCCAGACTCTTCAGTGATGTCCAATGACAGGACAAGGGGCAATGGGTACAAGCTGGAACACAGGAGGTTCCACAAAAATATTTTTTCCCTATGAGGGTGCCAGAGCCCTGGCACAGGTTGCCAGGGAGGTTGTGGAGTCTTCTTCTTTGGAGACATTCAAAACCTGCCTGGATGTGTTCCTGTGTGACCTACTGTAGGTGATCCTGCTCTGGCAGGGGGGCTGGACTGGATGATCTTTTGAGGTCCCTTCGAACCCCTGACATTCTGTGATTCTATGGATAAAGTAGGAAAATGTATTGTCTTCTTATGGCTTTGCTTCCCGTTAGTTAGCTCAAGCTAGAAACATGATAATATGCTTGTGCAAAGAAAACTGGGTGCTTTATAGCATAACTATGAAAGACACTTTCCCGAGGCAGCTGAAGGAGCACAGCATCAAGGTAAATCCTATTGGTAATTTGTTATTTGGATATACAAAAGATACTTTTCTCCTTTTATATGTTTTACTAATAAGAAAGGGAAAAACAGCTAAAAATACAGTATTCTAAATAAGTGAATTCCAAGGTCACATTAAACCATTTTCCTGGATAGCAAAGGAGTATCGCATTTATCCTGACATTGATTAAGTTATGTTCTTTCTTTGCGTAGTTATTCCAAGTACCATACTCTGCCCTCACCATGTTTCTCAGCACAGACCAGAAGGAGAGAGATTCTGCAACAGCATACCGTGAGTGTGATCTGGGCTTTCTCATGAGGATTAGGGCTGAGTTTTATTTAAAATAATTCTTTATCTATAGGAAGTTCCTAATGGTTTGTGTCCCTAAACTGGTCTTTAATATGAGATTTTTAATATCTGATGAAAAATATTTTGTCTTGCAAATGCTTCCATTTCTCTAACTAAATAGGATGCATTAATGTTTTATAGTCTTAAATTGTCTGATTAGCTATAAATTCTTTTTGGTTTACTGCTGGTCATACAAAACAATAAAAATTACTCTTCCCCAAGCCAGGGTAGGGAGTAAGGATTTCATTTAAAGGTGATTTGTAGGCAAAAAGATAAAGTGCTGACATTCTTTAAGACTGAATTCAAGAAAGACTGAAAGTAATTTTGAGTATTTTCTTAATTTTTTTTTTTAGTTCAGATTTTCCTAGGTTTTTGTGTTGTGTGTTGTAAATTCAAATCCCAAGCCTATTTTCTCTAAAAAAAATTTCCAGAATAACTTGTAAATTTTTCTTGCATCTATTTTCTCTTCCTGGCAAGAGCCCTTTTCTCTTCCATTAGTTTTTCTATCCCTCAACATACTTACTTGAGTGTATTGAAAACTAGACCAGAGAAGCACAATGAAATGGCCAGAAATGCTAAAAGAATTATGTCAGAAATTCTAGATACAGTGTCCCCTGAGCAACCCAACCCCTTTCCTGCCACATGGAACAGTTGTAATTTGCATTATCATCAACTATCTCAAGAGAAACTCTGGGCTAGCAGTCATAGGACGGGACTAAACAGCGGGAGATTCCAGTTGTGTTATATCCTTTGGCACTGACTGCATTCTGAGTCATCTGGCCTAAATTCTAACTAAATCCATGTACCTAGTGTTTTCTATTGTCTGGTTTTGTGTCTTCAGAGCCTGGGATCCGAATAAATATGTTTTCTGTCTGTTAGTCCCATGCAGGACGTGTGACATCTGTGCTTATAGATGGCCGAGCGGTGTTACACATTTATAGTGCCGTTTGATTGTGCAGAAGGGGTTTGGCTTTTGAGTGTACAGATGTTCACCTGAGGCAAGTCAGGGTGGTGGGGTGAACCACAGTTTTGCCTTTTCAAATGTTGATATTTTTGTGTATTTTGAAATCATGTTTTTTCTGGAGCCAAGTTTTCTTGTAATGGTTATGATTGTGTGAGATCTTTTAAATTTTTTTTTTTAAACAAATGTTTTACTTAAACACTTTTACTTCTCTGGGTTTCATACAGAATTCTTCTTGTTGGATGCAGGCAGTTGTTCAGGCATATTTTCAACTCTTTAAAGAAAAACAGCTGTATAATGTGAAGTGTGCTTTTAGAAAAGGTTCAGATCAGAAGATCCATTATCCTCTACTGGAGACAAGCATAACTGTTTATAATAAATTTTGTTCTGCTCCTTACTATGAATGTATGGTAGAAATACTGGATTCCAGAGTTACTTTAACGTAAATCTTACTTACGTTCTGGGCAAAATGTAACCTAATTCAAGGTATGATCTGCTTTATGAAAGATCAGGTTTCTTGGCTGATAGGAAAAGTGATACATTATAAATTCAGAGCACATAAGGTATTTTTAATACACCTGTTTCTCAGCTCTTGCTACTTAGAAAATAAGGTTTCATAATAGTTGTATTTCTGCCTCTAATGATGCTTCTAAGTTCTTTTTTATGCAAGTGCTTGGTAAAATGCAGATGTAAAGGCCTAGATAAAGTTACAAATGTGAAGGTGTTGTTTAGAATAAAAGGTGTGGCTCAGGTGCATTGCCTTTGCACTGAGTAGTCAACGTTTGAAAGCTCTGCAAGGCCCAGCTGAGACTAGTTTGTGTCCAAACTCTTCAGATCAAGCTGAGGTTAGTATTTTCACCATTTGCCAACATTTTTGTGTATGGACTGAAAATTGTTAGTAAGATTGGATGTGAAGTGGGGGAAGGAGTTTTTTAGGGTTTTGTTGGGTTTGTTTTTGTTTTTTTACTTACTCCTGGTTTAAATTAATGTTACGTGAAGCCTCACATTTTCCATTCAGAAGCATTGTCTGGGAACGTACTAGCAATGGCTAACGCAATCCAGGTCTCCTAGGGAGCCTCTTTCCTTTTCCTTACTGGATCTTCCATAGCTACTCTAGCCCTCGTTACTGCACTGACTGAACACCTCACAGTCTGTGGGCATTGTTGTTCTGTTAGGTAGAAAAGTGGTTTTATTCCTCTAGAGGGATACACAGATGGCATGTGTCAAAGGTCACCTAGGAAGGCTGTTACTGAGCAGAGAACTTAAATAAACCTGAACCTGAGAGCTTTTGAAGTGCCTGTTACTTCCCAGGGAATGTATGATAACCACAAGGACACAACCCACTTGGAAGCAGCCCTTCAAAATTCCCCAAGGTGCTTCTGAGAAGGGAACATTGGATCTCTGGAGCCACTGAGAGAGAATAAGTAGAAAAAAGCCTGATGTATCTTGACAAGATCATTCCCTGATAAACTGGGAGTTTTGGTCCCTGTTCCTAATCTGTTCATGTATTCAGCCTTATGTATCTTTATGCAAAATGTGTCCCTGGATCTAGGGCAGGAATTCAGTTTATCTCCCTGCCATGGGGATGCTGGTTATGGCCATATTGTGGGGAAACAGGAGTGGTCAGCTTTAAATCCCTCAGGGTGAGAAGGGCCTAGAACTCCAATTACTCACCACTTGCCTGCAGTGGAGCTGTAACAACTAGCCGCCTTGTTGACTGATTTTGAGTATGTGAAGCATGATCCGGGTGCCCATGTTAAGATCTTTGATGGTGTTTTCCAGGGCTCAGCATCAGGACCAGTTCTGCTTAATATCTTTATCAATGATCTGGTATCTTTATCAGTGATCTGGATGAGGGGGTCAAGTGCACCCTCAGTAGGTTTGCAGATGACACTTGAGTTGGGCAGGAGTGTTGATCTGCTTGAAGGTAAAAAGGTTCTGCAGAGGGATCTGCACAGGCTGGATCGACAGACTGAGACCAGTTACATGAGGTTCAACAAGACTAAGTACCAGCTCCTGCACTTGGGTCACAACAACCTCCTGCAACGCTACAGGCTTGGAGAAGAGTGTCTGGAAAGCTGCCCAGCAGAAAAGGACCTGGGGGTGTTTGTCAACAGCCGGCTGAAGCTGAGCCAGCAGTGTGCCCAGGTGGCCAAGAAGGCCAATGGCATCCTGGCTTGTATCAGAAATAGTGTGGCCAGCAGGACCAGGGCAGTGATTGTCCCCTGTACATAGCACTGGTGAAGCCACACTTCAAATCCTGTGTTCAGTTTTGGGCCTCTCGCTACAAGAAAGACACTGAGGTGCTGGAGAGCGTCCAAAGAAGGGCAACGAAGCTGGTGAAGGGCCTCGAGCACAAGTCTTATGAGGAGTGGCTGAGAGAACTGAGGTTGTTCAGCCTGGAGAAAAGGAGGCTGAGGGGAGACCTTACTGCTCTTTACAACTACCTGAAAGGAGGTTGTAGCAAGGTGGGGGTTGGACTCTTCTCCCAAGTAACAAGCAATAGGACAAGAGGAAATGGCCTCAAGTTGCACAAGGGTAGGTTCAGATTGGATATTAGGAAAAATTTCTTCACTGAAGGAGTTGTCAAGCACTGGAACAGGCTGGCCCGG